ATGAACCTATGGACTGTTCTAGTTTGCCTTTATTTGTGCTATAGATATTTCATGGTCCCAAGCCTTGAACCTGTGGACTCTTTCAATCTACCTGTACTTGTGCTACTGATAGAGAGGTGTCCCCTGCTAACAAAACCTAACTATTTTTGAGTATCCCACATCACCCCGAATCCCCTCCTGTTACAAGTTTCTACAAGCAAATAAACTCTAATAGAAAACCCCTCTCTAGCTCCCTTATCTCCTCCTCCCATGCTTGTCTCCAGGACTTCTCCAGAGCCTCCCCCATCCTCTGGAACTTTTCTACCCCAATCTATCCGACTATCGCCTACTCTGCCCACTTATAGGTGATCTCTGAAAACCTATTTCTTCAGGAAAGCCTATCCCACCTTCAGCCAATAAAGGAGTCATCTATTCCTCCTATCAGTTCATCCCCCACAGTTATTACCTTTTGTACCACCAGCCCCTCCATCTTAGATTGTAAGCTTCAAGGAGCAGGGCCCTCCTAATCCTCTTGTATGGAACTGTATTGTTGCTGTATTGTCTCTCTTTATATTCTAAAGCGCTGAGCAAACTGTTGGCGCTATATAAATCCTGTATAATAATAATAACCCCTAGACTGTTCAATGAGCCGGAGTGATTGGATTGTTGCACTGTTGTGGGAAAGAACCTGCTAATCACACATCGACCACATTGGGGGTAGTGCTTTATATATATATAAAGAACACTGTATGCTGCTTATAGTATTATTTGTGGTTTAAATGTTTCTCACATTATGGATAAATGTTGTGGCCTATATAAAACAGAAAGCTTTTCTTGTGTACCTAGGGCAGGTATATACTATCTATCAAACACAAATGCTCCTGCGCTTGGGGATGGACTCGATGCAGGTCACAACCACATAAGGAATGTCCTGGAACATGCACACCTTGCTGCCCTCAAATGGACCGGGGAAATCCAAATATACTGAATGAGGAAAGAAAAAACAGAGGGCGCACAGGCCTAGTGCATTACCATAAAAAATGTTTAATAAAAAATAAAGTATGTGTTGTAATCACAAACGACAATATAGTCAAGGCACATCATAAAGAACAGCTGGGTCAACACCGCGCTGAGTAACAGTCCGCAATAGGGAGTTTTAGACATCCAAAAGGCTGACGCGTTTCGAGGACTTGCCTCTTCCTCAGAGCCAACTGACCAAATGTCTGCTCCCTCTTTTATATGCTCACTATTAGTTAAACCAAAGGTCACATGGGCCATCCTGGACACTCCCCTGTGCAGGTGGAGGAGTCACAGGGGCAATTGACATAGTGTAAGTAAACACGAAAGGTCTAAAAAAAATATATATATATGTGTATAAATAAAACCATTGAAACTAGTGACAATCATAAAATTATATGAACCATAAGAAGTGTGCACAGTGAAAAATAAAATAAATGGAAAGTTACACATATATATATATATATATATATATATATATATATATATATATAAAATAAAAATCCTTCCCTGGTGATGCACTGCACTGCTCGCCTTTAAATAAATGGATGGATGGATGGATGGATGAGAAATGCTACGAAGCTGCCTAGTGCTCTGCTTGCCATAGACAACCATGGGGCATGGATTTAATATAGAGAGTAGATCTGAAACCCAGCAGAGGCACTTATTAATTCATAGAAATGCAGCCTACAGGGTGTGTGCTTATCATTCTAGTATAGTCATATGATTAAACGTAGGCATGTGTGGCAATGTAGTGCACCATGGATGGATTTGCATATGCGATACTATATACAAGAACAAAGGAGATAAAATCACTAGTAAAACATAAATGTTGATATAAAACGTTACAAAAAAAAACTTCTTAATATGGTTCACAAAGTTTAAATAAAATAAAATTAAATAAGTATTGTTACAATATACTATCTATATATGACTGTAGCTGACTGGCACTGCTTATAGATTTAGTATACAGCTCTCATTTCTCTTGGTGATTTGCAATAAATGACAAATCCATCTATAGTAGTTGTGTATATTTGTAAAGGACAATGCAGCTGATGAAGCTGAAAGTTGGCCTGAAGAGTCTAAAGAAATGTAATAAAGAGGTAACATGGTAGCATCTACCCAAAACCTGGAATTGGATATAGGTTTGAAAGTGAGGCAAGTGAGGAGACAAAGCCTGACGAATGGGCCCTGTGTGGCTCCAAAACATTGCCCTGTGTTTATCGTGACCATGAAATAAAGCTTTGGACCCATTCTTGAGGAATCCTTGGTGTACTGGTTTCATTTCATCACTTGGATTTTCTACAGTTCCCAGCCTGTGGTCACTACAGCACCCAGCAATACTGAATAGCCATCTGCAAGAACGTGTGCGTTGGGAATATTGCATTTTGTTTCCAAGGGTGTCTCCATTGCTCCTCGGTAGACAGAGGAGACACCCTAAGACAGGAAGTATGTTATTGGCCAGATCGCCAGGTGAAAATAAAGGAAAGAAAGTAAAAAAAAGGAAAACTAATGCAGCCACCACAAACAATTAAGGGTTGGTAAACTGCAATATATTGCATAGTTGTTTAGATTTGGGTTTAGATATGTTTTAAGATTGTTAAAGATTTTATGAAATTTAATGAATGGGTTAAGTAATAATTTAGATAGTTATAGAGACATATATGTATCCATATCAAAAGAATTTTCAGCATCGTGCAATAAATATAGGATATCTCTCTCTCTCTCTACAATATACCATAGCACTATTTGTAACGTTGGAAAATGTTCTGTGCAATGTGGAGAAGTCATCGAACCGAAAAGAGTTGTGATGATACCCTTCAGTCATGTAAGGAGGATGTTTTGTATGTCCCTTCTGGGATGCCAAGCATTGTGGGGTCTTGAGTCCTTTTGTTCCAACTAAATCCTATCCCGCTGGGCTGGAAGGATGCACAATAAGGTCTTCTTTTGGGAGTTAAAGGATGTGCAGGCTGATTCCTGAAACACAGATATTAGTTTTTTGTCTTCCTTGTTGTGTTTCTGTCACTCTGAAAGCAAGTTCCAAGCCAAGAATAAGGGAAGAAAGTAATCAAATTAGGGCTGGTTAGCAACACCAGAGGGGCAAGGACTTCACAGGCAGAGCATTAGCAGTGACAGCTGTTGCACACACTATTAGAGATTCCCCAGTCTCCAGCATTCTCTAAAGGATGTCTCTCAGTGGGTCCAAGGCACATATTACTGTGTGTGTGATTTGGGAACCTCATCCTGATTAAACATGCTTCTCGTGGTAAGTGGAGTGACTGCGCCATTACTAGCATTTTACACTTAATTGGACAGGACGTCTTGAGAGCTTTCAGTTGACTTTGAGACACTAAATTGATCTTAATAGTAGTTATTGATCAGCGTCAAGGACCTGTATTTGCCTAGTGCTAAAGCTTGTCATTACCACTGACATTGAGATGTCATTTAAATGCCTTGTTTTTCTTGTAATTTAGTTTCAATGAGTGTTGATTGTGGCTGATGGTGACGATTAAGTGACTTTAATCCGTAGAAAAGAAAAAATATTAATTACTTAAATATTCACATTCCAACACATCATTTATGTGTTCTCCTCTGTCCTTCATATCATGTTATGATGTACATTAAAGTTATAATGCAGTATATGCTATGGTGGCTCTTAGGGAATCTGTTTTTAAGAAAAAAAGAAAGTAGGCATACAGAAGGTCGGGAATTAAAGTAACCTGTTTCCCTAGAGTAATCCAAAGTCTTAATGTTAAAATGAAATATACTCAATGGTGTAGGTTTATTAAAGGCTAATAGGCTGTTCACTTTGCAAGGGAAGTTGCGCTTTTGTTTGTTTTTTCCAGAGCTTGGTAAATGCGGTGAAATGTCACTTGGCAAAGAATACCAAATCATGTGCAAGAAGAAAAATACTTGCATATGATTAGGTGATGGAAGTCAGCAGAGCTTCACCCCATTCACTAAACTCTGGGGATAATTCCCTTACAAAGTGAAGAGACTATTTGCTTTTAGTAAATCAACCCCATTGCATAAGTAATCACTTAGAAAAAGGATTTGCAGCGATGAGGCACAGATCCTAGTCCTAGTTCTGTGCACCTTTCTCCTTTGTATACGTTGTCCTTGCCTGCCTTGCACCTCTGAGCCAGTTGTTCTATCATGATTTTTTTGTGTGAATTGTCCAGTAAAATATAGTATAAAATATCTAACGTTTCATTTTAAAGCAGATGTTTTTTGTTTCTATGATGATCTATGTGAAGATACTCCACCAAAGAGCTCTATTTCTAATCCAAAGGGCCTATTTGTAAAACAACCATTAACTGTTAGTCCTCATGCACACTAGACGTTTTGATAACGGTGGTAACGTTAACTGTTGTGTAAAGCCACGTTAAAAATGTGAGTTTGTCAGCTTTTTGTAGCGTTTTGAATTAGCGTTTAGCCACGTTTTCTGGGGTTGCGTATTTTAGCGCTTTTTTCTTACAAAAAAAATTTTTTTTGGTCAAAAAAGTCCAAAAATGCTGGCTTGCAGCGTTTTGCCCACGTTTTTCAGAATTAGATCATTTTTAAAAGCTAAAAAAACTCCTCTAGAAACCCACTAGTCTGGGGTTTTTTTCCAGCAAGCTAAAAAACATTGATTACAGTCTATGTGTGCATGGACACATATGATAACATGCTGGGGGTTTACTAGCTGAAGAAAAAAACATCAAAAGCCAAAAACAGAAGCTGTCAAGTGTGCATGAGCACTGAGTAGTATCTTCCTGGTGCACGTGCTTTAAATTACAGTGACAATTTCACCTACAGTAAGTGATTGGTGAATAGCACATTTATTGCTTTAGAAATATGCTCCTAAATGTTAAATATTATATGTTGTTAGGCTTTCTGTGCTGGTTAGCTTCATTTATGATGGGAACTTCCCATAGGGCATGTATGGTCAATGTGCATGGCAGATAAAAGGAGAAAAAGTTTGAGGCACTGATAGGTTGTAAACAGGGGTGGACTGACAACTCATGGGGCCCCCAGGCAATAGGGGATCATGGGGCCCTGTGTCCTTGCCCAAACTCAAAAAAGCCTATGAAAAAGGTACCAGGGGCATCTCATGGGGCCCCTTACTGACCCCGGGCCCTCGGGCAGTGCCCGGGTTTCCAAAGGGTCAGTCATTTGCCCTGGTTGTAAATGAAACTATGGTATGTTACTCTTAGGAGCTCAAGATGTGGCACTGGACAATTAGGGGTGGATCCTCCAGGGCTGAGATGAAACATTAGTTTCATGTGAAGGGATAAATTTACAGCCAGGACCTAAATGTATCATTAACACTTCAGTCTCCTGAGAACTTAACCTTACAATTCTCCTTCTACAGTCCTCAAAGAAAACACATTCAGGGCTCAATCCAAGGTGCTTTTAAAATACATTATGGTATATTAATATTACTTCCTCGGGTGAGGCCTCTCCCTGAATCGGGGGAATTCCAATGAACAGAAAACAAACTCCTTGTGCATTACCTCCATAAAATCTATTCAAACCATAGAGATCATTCAAAAATTCATTGATAGGTGTGACTGACCTGCAGCTGCACCTGCCTAGGGGGATTAAGGAATGATGAATAAGATATCCAAATGGCCAAAGTGTGTATCCCACCACGAAGCAGCAAATGGGCCGCTCACCTCAAGGATGTGACCCTGAGCTAACAGGTAGGTCAAAAACTGCAGTCCCCTATGGGGTAATTTACAGATGAGTTCACTATAGCTGGAAGTCTGAAATTGCTTGCATTCAATTTTAAATTTAGCTATTTGGTCTGCGTGATTGTTCATTTTATTTTGAATTGCTCGGTCATGAAACGCTGTACCCAAATTAAGTTTAGATAATTTTTTTTTCACATAAATAGAGCTTTCTTTTGGCAGTATTTGATCATGACTGGGTTTTTATTTTTTAATGTATACAAAAAAAAACCACCAACAGTTTTGAAAAAAAAAACCTGATATTTTCTATTTTCTGTTATAAAATATATCCAATAAAAATTTTTTTTAAAAATCTATTTTTTTCATAAATTTAGGCCATATCATATTTTGCTACATGTCTTTGATAAAAAAAAGATTTCAATAAGTGTATATTAATTGGTTTCTGTCAAAGTTATAGCGTATACAAACTATGGTATTTATACAGGAATTGATGCAGCTCTTGACGCTCTACTGGTAATGGCAGTGATCAGTGACTTAGAGTGGGACTGTGATAGTGTGGCAGGCAATCTGGCACTAGCAGACACTTTCTGTGAGGTACACTAACTGACACTGACATCTCTAGTGACACTAATACAGTGATCAGATATAATAGTGTGCACTGTACACTCAATAAAAAGTGCAGAGCTGAATATGCTTATAATGAAAAATATTGTCACCAATAAATATTGTCGCCAGTATAATAAATATTATTATATAAATTTATAAATCCCAAGTGAATGTGGTGTATCATCAGGCGCCAAATAGAAACGTGATAATATCAAAAGTCTGTAATTCAGAAAAGTGTTCAAAGAGAATGCAGGCTTGATGCAGGTCAGCAAATTAGTGCTTCATTCACATATAATCATTTGTGACTTCCGGTAAAGATCCATGCGATTCAATCTGTGTGATACTGTATAAAATACGCACTCACCAGATGCACATAAAATATGCGCATTAAGCAGAATATGACTCTGTAGGGGAGCCCCTTTAGATAGATCTGTCAGCCAGCCTGGAACAAGGATCCCTCCTCTGGACACAAGCCTCCTCTGCAGCCACGCTTCCTCTGGGAGTCTCTGTGATCTTTAGCTCAGATCAGAGCCAATGATAAAAATTGCCTCATAATGTAGTAATATTAAAATAGTGATTCATTAATTATAGATGATCATCCAGCAAAGTACTATGTAAAAATTGCATCAACATGCATTAAGAGCAAAAAAATAACAGAATCTCCTGATAACAATGACATGTGGCTGGGAAGGGGTTAACATCAAGGGGCAATCAAGGGGTTAACTGTGTGCCTAACAAGTGTAATGCATGTAATATACTGTATGCTGCTTCTTCTAATAAATTTGGCTGTTTTTTCCCCTGCTTTGCAGGGAGAAGAAACAGCCAGATCGCTGTGCTGTGAACACAGAGTCCTGTGTATTTGTAAACACACAGGACTCTGTTCTGTGATTGAACACATCCGATCACTAGATTTCAGCCAAAATTATTAATTAATTAACTTGGCTGTGTTCAATCGCAACAGGGGTAAGCAGGGGGCATGCCTGAAAACCTGGAGGCAGGTAGCGATATACAGTTACGTTACCTGGCCTGCCTGTGCAAGTGCAAGTGGTTGATGTGCTTCAAACCCTTATACATACGAGGTATTGTTTGTTATTTTGCATTTCTGTTTTTGCCTGGAAACTCTGGCCATTCTTGGGGAAGTTGCCAACCCCCAGCATGGCCGGATTACTATGCTGCTCTTAATGTTATTGATGTTTGAAAATATAATCCTTCTACCTTATTTCTTTGTATCTTTTAACATTTTTCGAATTAAATGATTTATGGTAAAAAAAAAAGAAATAAGAGATGCAAATTACATTTGATACAATTTCTCAAAGAAAATGTGAGAATTCGGATAAAATGCCTAAGCCTTTAAAAAGCAGTTTCATTTCTCCTCACCCAGGGTTTGTATCAGGTATAATTGAATATTCTCGGTAGCTCTGCAGCTCTTTGGTCCTAGTTCCACTAAGCAGATGAGACGCCGCATGCAGCGACTGAACACAATGGTACACCTGTGCATCTCAGAGGTTAGCATCCTGCAGAGCCAAGGGGGACATCCTTTACTGCTTTCTTGCTGCCCTCTCATACTGACTAGGTAAAGGAGATCAGAGATGTGGAATCTTTGGAAAGAAGACAGTGAAAACTTTATACTTCAACAAGTGCTGAGGTTTTTGTAGAGAGAGGTTGGAGAGCAGGCTTAGAATTGTAGAAAATTCATGCTGGCGAGAGAAAAAAAAACTAACCTTGAGAACTACTTGGCACTCCACGAGTTCAATCAGGCATCTCACTGATGTATTCTGGGGAACAAATCACCTCTTTGATTCATGCCTGAACCCAGGAAGAAAAAGCATACGTAATAGACCGGAGCGCAGCATATAGTTATGTGTTGCCTTCCAGTCTATACCATATGAATGTGAATTACGTTACGGATAGAGATGGGTTTGTGATAAATGTGGACAGTCATCAGATCATTGGAAAGCCATCTGTTTTGTTTCACCAACATGTCGGAATATTTTATTAAAGCATTCTTTTATTTGATTTGTAGTCTAAATTGAATTTTAATTCAACTCAAAATGTTTCCAAATAAACCTCGGGGAAACATTAAAAATGACTTTTTTTTAGGAAAAAGTTTACTGATCAATGTAAAATGTCTTAATCGAGAAATAAACTGTCTGATAGATTTTGCTAAACACTAGAAGACATTATTTGATTAATGGCATGTTTTGTGCATGCAAATGTACTTAAAGGGGGACTGTGCTCAGAAACACACTGTACGTTTTTACCATTGCTGACCTGCTGAAAATGCTAGTTGCCTGGCTGTCTCTGGATTCACTGCTTTCTGATGCTTTCTATGTAATGAATTGTTCACTGAATACATTTGTGTTCAGTGGGAAGGAAATAGTTTAGGCACAAAAGATATAATATGAGACAGATTCAAGCCTAACTCTAGCCTTACCTCCAGTCTGCACAAATGTACAGGCTCCTCTCCTGTACCATATTGCTTACGATCAAGTTGCTGCATACTGTGACCCCCTCACACTGTATTTTGGAAGTTCTTCCAAGTCATATAGAGCCTGCATGAAATCCTGACTGGAGGATTTCCACCATCATCTATCCCTTTCTTGTCCCTGACCAATTTTTTTTCCATCAGTGGCGGCTCAGCATTATATGTGGGTGTTACCTAGGCAGTCTGCTGCTTTCAGGAACCTATATACAGCCCCTCCCACCAGCCATGATGTGGCTGCATTGCATAGAGAGGCACAGAAACCCAGTGATGACATCACTGCATTTAAAATAAAGTTCATGATGAAAACAGAACATTTTTTTTTTTCATTAGAAACAGTATTAGCATCTTAATGAAGAGGGAGTAATGAACCAAAGAAATGCAAAATATAAACACATGTACCTTCAGCTTTAATAATGATGCTTTGGGCCTTATTCATCAAAATACCTGAAACAGAAACTGTCTGAATTGTCCATAGCACGGACAAGTGAGTTTCCATTTGCTATGGCATGGTCCATTATATGTGAAGCACTCTTTAATAGTCAGTAAAAAGGTCTCCCTTAAAATAGTAGAAAACTTATTGTATACTTTTACCTGCAGGTAAGCTTATGATAAAGCTCACCTGGAAGTAAAATGAACATCTCTTAAAAGTACACCGTTTAGGAGATATTCGCTCTTTTGACAGCCGCTGCACGCGCTCTGAAGGAATGGTATACCCGTGCCGTTCCTTCAGAGCACTGTGCCACAGCCCTGTACTGCAGCACGCATGCGCGGGAGTGATGTCACTGCGGCTTGGCCAGGCAGATGGCCAGAGCTCGCATATCCAGAAGGAAGACCGGATGAAGATGGAAAGATGGAAGCCTCTGCAGTGGTGACAGCGCGTCGCTTTGGTAAGTCTTACTGCACTTTTTTTAAGGTGCGGTTTACTACCACTTTAAATGCTGAAATACATTTTCAATACAGTTTTGCTAAAAAGCATTTTTAATGCATACAATTAAAGAACATTTTTTGAGAGAAAAGGTTTCTGAGACATTACATTTTAAGATACTCTGCATGATAAGAAATGTGCTATGTAATTTAACATTATTCAAGGTACTTTCTAAGGCCTTTACAATGCAAACAAACAGATTCAAATTGCCTGTAATGATTGCTTTCACAGAGTCCCTTGGTCAGTGTGACCTGATGGATGGTCAAATTCCAATTTTACATAGCCACATCTTGTGCAAATGAAACATTATCAAAGGCTAATATTTTTGTTCATCCTCTGGAACGTACACTCCATTCCTGCTTTACCATTTACCTGAAAGTGTAAGTTTAGTCAAAATTTAAAAAAAAAAAAATCAGCACAAGGGACAGTACATACATTCAGTGAGAAGTATCACTTGTGCTGGTAGCTGCTGTCTTAATTAAAATCTTTCAT